CAATACAATTCTAAGCCTGTTTACATGATGGATAAAAGGATATTAGTTAGAAAATGATAGAAATATCATAAATATGAATTACAAGTACCCATCTTTGTTGCGGAGGTTGGTCGGGGTTGGCACACCATCCTTATTAAATATGAGCAACATATATTTCACGGGCGGGGATTTAGAGGTATCCAAAATATAAATTTTATGAGAGAAGACTAATACTGTTTTTGGTAAATTAAAAAGGCACGTGAAAACACATTACTCAATTGGTTAGACACTATCAAGCAACTGGTTTTTTTTTTACATTTTGATAGAAGTTCAAAGTATTGAATTAATATAAATATTTTTCATACGAATAGAAAAAATTTTCTTCTTTTTTGGGTCAATGCCATGCATTTTATCCATTACCTTGACTTTTGCGCCTGCGTCAAGACATTTTACCAATCCTTTGTAACATCACTATTTGTATTGTTGGTAACAGTTATAAATGGTTAGCAAATAAAAAATACTTTCCCAATTATATTTTTTATGACTTTTTTATGAAGGGATAATATTACATGAATTTTTTCCATTACCTTGACCTTTGTGCCTGCGTCGAGACATTTTAGCAATCCTTCGAACATCACTATTTGTATTGTTGGTAGCAGTTTTAAATTGTTCGTAAATTAAAAATACTTTCCCAATTATATTTTTTATGTCTTGTTTTATAAAGGGATAATTTTCCATGAATTTTTCTATTACCTTGACCTTTGCGCCTGCGTCGAGGCATTTTAGCAATCCTTTACACGACCACCTTTTTATATTGTAGGTAACCAACTTGACTGTGAAGTTATGCTACGGCTGGAAATGGGTGGTTTGCTTAATGGAATTTAAATTATCGGTGACAAATTTATAAGTGAGAGTCACAGACGTTTTGGACAAAGGCCACATTTGGTAATTTAGGTGTGGGTACACACATTTGTTATGGTGATACAAAATGGGATAATCAAAGTGTCTGTTTTTACTGTACTACGCCGGAGTGATTTCAATTGCTTTCCCAATCATAGTTAGTTTTAAATCGTTTTCTTACATTCATTTTTTTGTTCTTTCTAGACATTTTATTGTAGCTAATAACTATAGTTATGGGATAAATTTATTATACCTACATTAGATGAAAGAATATGAAAAATGGAAATGTTTTATTTTTAAAATATACTAGTTAAAGTGAATGATATTATTATATGTTCTCTAATGTCTGTCATTATGAATCAAAATTGTCTATCAAAACAGCTTCTAAACAGCTTTTAGATAGCTTGTGAATAACTAATTTTATATTTAGTTTAACAATCACAGGATTTATCTTTCCCCAACATAATCGGACATGTTCTTTTACGATTTATATATAAATCTTTAGATAGTTTGGTTGTGCGATCTTTCTCACGTCCTTTTTTGATAATTCTTAACGAAAGACTATAGCAGCTCGTAAAAGTTAATAGCAACTAGTAACCAGCTAATAACAATTAGTAAACTTCAAGTAAACAGATACTAAACAGCTAGTTAGCAGCTAATAACATCTAGTTAACAACTTGATAACATATATTAACATATAGAAACCAGATACTAAACAGCTAGTTACCAGCTAATAAAATTTAGTAAACAATTTGTTTACATTCAATATACACATAGAAACCAGATACTGAACAGCTAGTAACAAGCTTGTAACATCTAGTAAACAACTTGTGTACATCTATTAAACATATAGTAACCAGCTAATAACAACTAATAAGCAATTAGTAGACATATACTAAACAGATAGTAAGTAATAAGAGCTCATAACAGTTAACAACAGCTAGTAATCAAAGTCCAAGAAGCTCAACCGCCATCATGAATCACGAAAGAGGATGGAGAGCGAGAGAGTTTGGAGACCAAGGATGGAGAGCGAGAGAGTTTGGAGACCAAGGACGGAAAACGATAGAGTTTGGAGATCAAGGATGGAGAATGAGAGAATGGAGAACGAGAGAGCTTGGAGACCAAGGATGGAGAATGAGAGAATGGAGACTTGGCGGGCAGGGCAAGAGTTCCGTGTGCAAAAGAGGATTACGGAACTCCACCGGACTTTGGACTCTCCTGTGAACTTTGGACAGGGAGAAGAAGTGCCGCATCTCGGCGGGGCAGCGGCACACAGGCGTGCCACAAGCATCACGGGAATCAGCGGGACGGCAGCAGTGGGCAGAGCATCGGTTGGAAGCGGTACGTGAAGGACAAGTGGGTCAACCAGGAGTCACGGACTTTGGACCCGGAGTGGAGAGATCGTGCACAAAAGGGAAATAGCGGTTCCCGAAGGCCCTATATAAGGCCGCAGAGCGCCGGGAGCTGGATCAGTCAATCACGAGGAGTCAAACCTTCAAGATCAGTTAAAGTACCAAGTGAACAGTCAGTCAAGCAAGTAATCTTCGAGGGAGTCACAACCAAGCGAGTCATCGTACAAGGAGCATGATCCGAACGTCGAGACGTCGAGGCTTCAAGCATTAGGGTGAAGCCGGGTGGAACGTTCGTCTGCGCTAGGCGTAAAGCAAAGTGAACTGCTAGCCAGCTTCCTGGCGGTAGCCTTGACTGTCAGCGCGATCTGAGCAAGAACCCAGCGGGATCGTCCGGGACAGAGCAAGGGACAGGTATTGCCTCGAAGGGCGTTGGCCTGGAGAGCAAAGCTAGTTCACCCAAGTCTGAGAACGGTGACGCTTCCCTAAGCCCACAAGGCCGAATTCTCTGCGAGTCCACACAACCGCTGTACTAATGCCACGAGAATAAATCCCACTGTTACCATTTGAACCCTTTGTTTCCTCACTGATCTACGGGGCAGTCACGTCATATAAATTTGGTGGGACGAACACACAATCTTCTGAGCTAGCCGCACGAATCTCGTAGCGAGCAGACAACAAAAGCAGTTTGTTACAACCTTCTCTAAAACTCCCAAAATTTGACGGAAAATATGGCGAGTACAACCGTTTTATTGCATTTTTCAATCATGTGGTTCATGATGATGTCTTACTTTCTGATATTGACAAGTTTACGTACCTACTCGGATGTCTTTCTGGTCCTGCATTGAGTGTAGTGGCTGCATTTCAAGTATCGGAAGAAAATTACAAAAAGGCATTGGAGCGCCTTAAGGAACGATACGATAAAAAAGTGTTGATCTTACTCGAACATGTATCTAGCCTTTTTTCCATTTCTCAAATGAGAATGCAGCGCAAAGCGAGGCCAGGAGTTCCAGCAGTATGCTAAGCGTCCAGAAAAACTAAATCACCGCCACAAAAAGGCATTCCTAACGGCTAGAGGCAGTTGTATAAAATGCGATTCTACGGATCACAATCTAGCATCGTACCCTTCATTCGTTGCACTTCTAGAAGCGACATGCTTGGGTCAAACAGGCAGCGCTATGTTTAAACTGTCTTCATAAGGGCCAAATCGCAGCTGACTGTCCTTCGAAATTTCGGTATAGGACTTGTCGCGGGTTGCACCATTCTTCGTTACATCGCAGGAGTGAAACACAAGAAACTTATCAACCAAATGTAGAACAGACAAACGAGCAACCTCGTTGCTCCACACAAGTAGTCGCATGTCTTTCTCGTAAATCAAATCGAGCTCTTATCCCAACCGTGTGAGGATGCGTGAAACACACCCTCCACATTTCGCCACTTTTATTCTTTCCGCCACGAAGGCATACAATTGGATATTACGGCACGACGGCCATTTATTTATAAGTTATAAGTATAAGTTAGCCATAAGTCGTTACGCCACGAAGGCAATTTATTTAAGTTCAAACTAGAAGCTAAGCTTATCAGATTTAAATATCGCGCGCACCAGGGCTGGAAAACCACCCAGTGTTGGTCAACCGAGGGCCAACAGCTGATAGTGCCGATAGCGATAGGCGGAGGATCGATAAGAAACTGTGTTGGGAAACGGAAAAACCCGGAAAACCGGGCTTACATGCGGCCGCAGACCTAGGAGCGGACTTCAACCCGGAGTGGCACAGCGGCACGAGCGTCGGCACGCCGGATCCAAGGAGTAAGTGGGACACAGACAATAGAGATAAGACTGAGTGCGAGTAGGGGACTAGGAAAATAACTTGTGAAACTAGCGAATAATAAAGATAATAGAGAATGAAGAAGTATGTGTCCGCGTGAATTTGTGCATTTTTCGGGAACCCGCGTGCAGTGATTTGTGCCGGTCGGGAATCGTGTTGCATTAGAGAAGCTTGCTCGGTGCAAACGACCACCCGATCGCCCACAAGGAGCATAGGAAAGGATCGCCTCTGGCCACCCTCTCCTGGGGATCCCGCCCCAAATACGGTTGAGGTAGTCGCGAGTCACGTGCAGTGATCTGTGCCGGTCGGGAATCGTGTTGCGCCAGAGACGATTACTCAGTGCAAACGACCATTCGATCGACCACAGGGAGCGCAGGGAAGGGTCACCTCCGGCCATCCTCCCCTCGGATCCCTACCCCCTACCCCAGTAGCTTGTGAGTCGCACAACCAGGGGGAACGGCCACGCCGTCCAGTTTTGTTGGTATTTTCTCAGGGATCGGCCACGCCGCTCGTTTCGTTAGAATTTTCGCCGGGAGCAGCCTCGCCCTCCACTATACCTTCCGGGTGCCGTGTTGCGCTAGAGCCGCTTACTCGGTGCAACGCGGATACTCTGGCCCCTTTTCCCCACAAATTCCCGCGGCAACTCCCCGTCCAGTTTCGTTCCAATATTTTTCTACAAATTTAACTGTAGAGGACCCTGGCCGGACTGAGTTTTATCCCAGCCTATGAAAAAGGTCTTTACAGTTTGGCGCCCGAACAGGGACGAATAAGGACGACTAGATATCCTTCAGGAGAGTTGGGTTTTTACCACCAACCGCATGGCCTAAAGACCCATGTCCAGTAGATGAGATTTAGGGAAAGATAGGAGACCGCAGGAATTGTTAGAGCAGGGGATCCCTTAACGCTGCGCCCGCCAACGCTAACCCACTCCCGGAGCGCCACATAGCCACGTGGCCTCCCACGAAGCCGTCAAGCGCATATCACGCCCCGAGCAGCGCCCTCAGCGACAGCAGCGCCCAGTCGCGCCCACAGCAGCGCCAACCGCGCCGGACACGTGGTCACCAGCCACACAACGAGCGTCACCCGCGTTATCAACAGCGCAGACCCAGCAGCGTCCCGCGCCGTACAGTGCCACCCACGTGACCATCAGGTGCCCACAGAGCGGCCACCTCGCCCTCCACAGCGCCCAACGAGCGCCCTCCACAGCGCCCAACGAGCGCCCATCGAGCGTCATCAGTGCCCACCGTGGCCAACAGCAGTGCCCTCAGCGGCATCCGCGCCCAACGCAAAGCCCTACGAGCGGCTACCATCAAGCAGGGCAACAGCAGTGCCAACCGAGCGCTCACCACACCGATCAGCGCTGCCGCGCGTCAGTCGCGCCACGGGAAGCGCCCACCCACGTGTTCATCAGGAGCGCTCACCGCGCTCACCGAGCGCCATCCGGAGCGCCAGCCTCAGCAGCGCCCACCGAGCGGCTTCCGCGCCCTCAGTAGCGTTCAGCGCCCACCAGCAGCGCCCATCGAGCGGCGTTAGTGCCCAACAGGCGCCCTCAGCAGCGCCAACCGAGCGCCAATCACCGCGCCCACAGCAGCGCCCAGCCGCGCCCTCAGCAGCGCAGCCGCTCACCAGCCGCACTCACCGAGCGCCAACGGGAGCGCCAGCCGCAACCACATCGGTCAGCCACTGCCGCACGTCAGCAGCACCTGCCGTGCGCCCGCCGCATCACGCCCCTGGTAGCGCCCAGCGCCCAGTCACGCCACTAGGAGCGCTCACCGAGTGATCCCCAGCAGAGCCATCGGCAGCGCCACCGCGCGTATGCCCATTGACTCGGGAAAGAAAACGTCAGAGGACGCAGAATCAAAGCCAGATCCGGCAGCTGCCGGACTGGAAGAAGACAGGTTTTTCACCGCATCCGGGGGTGATTCCACGACCGCAAACATGGGGGTCAGGTGGATCGCCTACCGCCGGAAGGACGATCTGCAGGCTCTACTAAAAGAGTTTGGACTTGACCCGAATGGCCAAGTAGACGAACTACGACCACGATTGGCATCCTTCATCGGAGGAGGAGACCGCAGCCCGGCTCTACGAGAGCGCTTTGCCGCACTGGAGGCAATATACCCGGAAGCACCCACCCCGAGGACGTCCACAAGTCGGGCCACCTCACCGATGCCCGGAATTGAGGATCACAAGCTTCCCGTGCCCTGCTTAGGGAACCTACGGAAAAGCCCTGGACGGGAGATACCGGCCGCACAGCCCCATATCCGTGGCCACGGATAACTGCGAGGATGGGGGGTACTTTTTGACGGACAGTTAGACCCCGTTAATTTCATAGAACGCATCGAGGAAGGTGCCACTGCCTAAAATGTGAGAACGAGTAACATACCGACGGCCGTCGTTGGACTTCTCTCAGGCCGCGCCGAAGGCTGGTACCGGGCATACCAAATGCACACCGAGCCATGGGAAACTTTCCGGAGAGAGTTTCTGGAGTTTTTCTTGCCTCCGCGGTACTGCCAGAGCCTAGAAGATGCCATCCGGACCAGGCAACAACAAGTGGGCGAGCTCTTTAAAATATACGTAGTGGAATTACGCCTGATGATGCAACGCGCCAAGTACTCACTAGACTAGGAGCTCGAGCGGATCTACGAGAATTTGATGCCGGAGTACCAGCTTTTCATACGGCGACATGAGTTCTCCTCACTAGAGGGGCTTACCCAACTGGCAACTGCGTTCGAAATCGCACAGGATCGAGACCCCGTTCGACATGCAGCCCTAATTCCAACCGCAAGCTGGAATTCCGGCAGGGAGAGCAGCGAAAGACCCACACCTCAACCCCGGAACTTTCTCGCTCCAACGCCCTCTGGACCCAGGAGACCGGCGATATCCAACGGGATGATCGCCCAGGAAGCGGAACCACCGGTTGACGTCGACCGAGCTTGTCACCGCTGCGGAGAAATTGGACACTTCACACGAGAATGCCAAAACCCATCGCAGATGTACTGCTGGGACTGTGGGAAACGAAGCATCCGTACCATCGACTGCTGCCGCCGGACGGAAAACGGCCAGAGTCGCCGCCCACGTCGGGAGCCCGCGGTGACCCACTCGGTGCTCCCCCATCACTAGATTCCCCACTCCGCCTGGCGGGGGGCGGATTGTTGCCAACGTTACCATCGAGGGACAACCTTTCTCGGCAACAATTGACACAGGAGCCTCGCGAAGCTTTGTCAGCGAAGCGATCGCCAAGCGCCTAGACTCAGGAAGAAACAGCAGAGAAGTCCGGTCCCGCATCTCTCTGGCGGATGGATCCCAGAAAGAGGTGACCAAGGCCCTCCGGGCGCAAGTCGGCTTAAACGACTGACCGATCGGACTGACGCTACTAGTCCTGCCAACGATCCTGGATGAAGTGATTTTGGGCATCGACTTTCTTTGCGCCATCAGCGCAACTCTAATCTGCGGGCAAGTCTGTTTGCAACTAGCCCCACCTGCCACCCGGAAGGTAGAACCAACCCCAGATACGCGGGGGACTCCTACGGCCGCAACCGCGCAATCCCCAAGGACACCCGGTACGCCGCAATCATCGCAAGGCACCGAGGGGGGGACCAAAACAGTCCCAAAGCCTGCTCCGAGGACTCACATAAAGCCAAACGCGCCAGTGCGGAAGACAAGTCCTGACCCCTCGGGACCCCCGTTGTCAAGGAACCCGTCAGGCGACACCGCGGGAACCTGCATCACCACGGATAACAGGTACGGCCTACAACCGCAGGCGGACGCCGCCACGGCAAAGGAGAAGAACCCGTTTCGACGCCCCTCCACGAGCGCCCTGTTGGCCGCCACAACGGTGGCGCAAACCACCGCAAACCAGCCACCTCACCTGGGCCTGGGGAACCACAACGGAAAATCGGTGTATATCAGCTGCCAGCCCAGTCGGACGCAGCCAGCGCACGGAAGCACAACCCGTTCCGGAGCCACTGTCCCCACGGACACCTGGCCACTGTAGCGGAGGACCCAACCAGGCTACAGGTGACCGAAGAACCTCACGCCGAGGAAACCGCCCACTTTCTGCAGGAGGAGCTACAGCTTTTCGACGAGCTAAGCGGGCCAACGGAGATCGCCGAGCATACCATCACTCTCCGGGAGAATAAGCCACTAAAGCAGTGGTATTATCCAAAGAACCCCGCCATGCAGAGCATAATCAATCAGCAGTTGGACGAGCTATTACGGGATGACGGAATCGAGCCCTCCCGTAGCCCGCACAGTGCCCCGCTGGTGCTCGTGCGGAAGACGACAGGGGATATGCGGATGTGCGTCGACTATCGACAACTCAACGCACATTCCATACCCGATGCGTACCCACTCCCACGAATCAAACACATATTGGAGCGGCTACGGAACGCCCGGTTCATCTCAACGCTGGATCTTAAGAATGGATACTGGCAGATCCCTATGGCGGAAGGAAGCCGCGAATGCACGGCTTTTACCGTCCCTGGGCGTGGACTCTTCCACTGGAAAGTCATGCCCTTTGGACTGCATTCTGCCCCAGCAACGTTCCAGCGAGCCCTTGACAGCGTCATCGGGTCGGATATGGAACCCCACGCCTTCGCCTATTTGGATGACATCATCGTCATCGGGGCGACGTGGGAGGAACATGCCAGGAATCTCAGGGAAGTCTTCCGACGACTGCGGGAAGCAAAGTTTCGGCTGAATCAAGGCAAGTGCAAGTTTTTCCAGAAAAAGCTGGTATACTTAGGCCACTTGATCAGCGAAGAAGGCATCAGGACGGACCCAGATAAGATAGCTGCAATCCAGGGACTACGCCCGCCAACCAACGTCAAGGAACTCCGTCGTCAGTTGGGCATCGCATCTTGGTATCGACGCCTTGTCCAGGATTTCGCCTCCATCGTTCAGCCCATGTCCCGACTCCTCAGGAAGGGGGTCAAGTGGAGCTGGGAGGAGCCCCAACAGCAGGCATTTGAGACACTCAAAGCCAGACTTACGGCCGCACCGGTACTGGTCTGCCAAAATTTTGAATACAAGTTCCAGCTTCAGACGGATGCAAGTGATGCAGGACTTGGAGCAGTCCTCACTCAGAGCATCGATGGAGAGGAAAAGGTCATCGCCTACGTAAGTCGACGCCTCGAGCGAGCCGAGGAAAACTACTCCACTACCGAAAAGGAGTGCCTCGCCATAGTTTGGGCCACGCGGAAGCTACGCTGCTACTTGGTGGGCTACCAGTTTGACGTGATTACGGATCACCTCGCTCTCAAGTGGTTGAACTCGATTGGCAACCCCACGGGCCGCATAGCCCGGTGGGCTATGGAGCTGCAGCAATACCAGTTCACCGTCCTCTATCGGAAGGGCAAATACAACGTTGTCGCCGACGCCCTCTCCCGACAACCCCTCGGGATGCTTCAGCTGCTCGCGGAACACGGAACTCAGTGCAAATGGATCCGGAGGATGCAAGAAGAAGTCCAGATGCGCCCCGAAAAGTTTCCGGATTACACTCTGGATCACGGACAGCTGTATCGACACATCGGACACACCTCAGACGTGGGAAACAGCAACCCATGGAAGCTTTGCGTGCCTCGGGAGCAGAGACAACGAGTGCTGGAGGAATGCCACGACCACCCTTCTGCTGGTCACCTGGGCATCCGAAAGACTCGCAGACGGATTGCCCAACGATATTTCTGGCCGGGATTACATCGAGACGTTGTGCGGTACGTCACCAGCTGCTTGGTTTGCCAACAATACAAGGTGAGTCAACGCAAACCGGCGGGCAAAATGCTCACCTGCCATCCCACGGAGACATTCGCGCTCGTCGGAGCCGACTTCGTTGGACCTCTCCCTCGGACCCGACGAGGGAATACCTGCTGCTCGTATTTATAGATGTCTTTTCCAAATGGGTCGAGATCATCCCGCTAAAGAAGGCCACAGCCACTGGAGTTTGGATTTCGGGAAAGGATAATATCCCGCTTTGGAGCACCCAGGACTTTGATCTGCGACAACGGCACGCAGTTCACCAGCCGCGGTTTCAAGACATTCTGTCGCACTAACGGCATCAAACTGGAATACACAGCTCCCTATTCCCCGCAGCAGAACCCCACCGAACGGGCAAGCCGGACCATCAAGACAATGATAGCCCAGATCACAGGACATGGGATCAGCTACTGCCAGAGATCTCGCTGGCCATAAACACGAGCATCTTAGATAGCACCTGTTTCAGCCCCGCCTATCTGGTGCAGGGTAGGGAACCCAGATTGCCAGGAGCCCTCTTTGATGTGGTCACGCCTAGTCTACACTCGTCGCCGTTGGACCCCACTGAGCGAGCTAAACGACTTCAGGAAGCTTTCCGCACTGCGCTGGAAACCAACCAGATGGCTTCTCAGGAACAAGGCCGCCACTACAATTTGCGACGTCGTGAGTGGAGACCCCAGCTCGGATCACAGGTGATGGTCCGCCTTCACCACCTGTCAAAGGCCAGAGAAGGCTTTAACGCGAAGCTTGCTCCTAAGTACTCGGGGCCATTTAAGGTGCTGATGTTCCTCTCCCCGAATATCGTCAGGATACAACATATGGAAAACAGGAAGAGGCGAACAGCAGGAGTAGGCGACCTGAAGGAGTACCACCAACGCAGCGACCAACTAGGGGACCCGGAAGAAGCCACCGGAAAGAGCACGTGCCCAACATAAGGGAGTCGACGAATGTACCCAAAGCAGTAGTAATAACCTTAGTAGAAAACTAGGTTAAGCTGAGAGTTGTACCCACTAGATAAGTCGATCCTCGCACTCAGGCAGGGCAAGTAAGGAACGTAGGCCTAGGCTAATTTTCTAGCAATCTACAGATCGGAACTACAACAACAGGATGGAGCCCTTCTACCCAAACTTCGTCGCAGGGGTCTACCAACCGGTCGACCACCATGACTCGGACATGGATACCAACGACGGCGCACCCCCCAGCCGGGACTCGGTCCGGGTAGACACCCACCAGCGACGACTGCCTACAGCCCTAGTCGCATCCATCCAGGAGCAGGATCGACGGAGGGTGCGCTACCTGCGCCAGATCGAGGGTCATCGGTTCCGAGTCACCATCACCGCCGGGCGGGAGGTGATCGTTTCCCTCCACCATAATCACGCCAAAGAAAGGGGGGGGTGTGAGGATGCGTGAAACACACCCTCCACATTTCGCCACTTTTATTCTTTCCGCCACGAAGGCATACAATTGGATATTACGGCACGACGGCCATTTATTTATAAGTTATAAGCATAAGTTAGCCATAAGTCGTTACGCCACGAAAGCAATTTATTTAAGTTCAAACTAGAAACTAAGCTTATCAGATTTAAATATCGCGCGCACCAGGGCTGGAAAACCACCCAGTGTTGGTCAACCGAGGGCCAACAGTTGATAGTGCCGATAGCGATAGGCGGAGGATCGATAAGAAACTGTGTTGGGAAACGGAAAAACCCGGAAAACCGGGCTTACATGCGGCCGCAAGGGCGGAAGCTCGCTCTCATTCCCGAATGGCAGCAAAGGCGACCAGACCTAGGAGCGGACTTCAACCCGGAGTGGCACAGCGGCACGAGCGTCGGCACGCCGGATCCAAGGAGTAAGTGGGACACAGACAATAGAGATCAGACTGAGTGCGAGTAGGGGACTAAGAAAAAAACTTGTGAAACTAGCGAATAATAAAGATAAAAGAGAATGAAGAAGTATGTGTCCGCGTGAATTTGTGCATTTTTCGGGAACCCGCGTGCAGTGATTTGTGCCGGTCGGGAATCGTGTTGCATTAGAGAAGCTTGCTCGGTGCAAACGACCACCCGATCGCCCACAAGGAGCATAGGAAAAGATCGCCTCTGGCCACTCCTGGGAACCCCTCCCCAAATACGGTTTAGGTAGTCGCGAGCCACGTGCAGTGATCTGTGCCGGTCGGGAATCGTGTTGCGCCAGAGACGATTACTCAGTGCAAACGACCATTCGATCGACCAAAGGGAGCACAGGGAAGGGTCGCCTCCGGCCATCCTCCCCTCGGATCCCTACCCCCTACCCCAGTAGCTTGTGAGTCGCACAACCAGGGGGAACGGCCACGCCGTCCAGTTTTGTTGGTATTTTCTCAGGGATCGGCCACGCCGCTCGTTTCGTTAGAATTTTCGCCGGGAGCAGCCCCGCCCTCCACTATACCTTCCGGGTGCCGTGTTGCGCTAGAGCCGCTTACTCGGTGCAAAGCGGATACTCTGGCCTCTTTTCCCCACAAATTCCCGCGGCAACTCCCCGTCCAGTTTCGTTCCAATATTTTTCTACAAATGTAACTGTAGAGGCCCTGGCCGGACTGAGTTTTATCCCAGCCTATGAAAAAGGTCTTTACAACCGCTACAGTTCTTTTCCAGGATAAATACGGAATGTTCCACCCGGCAATGGCCTTGCTTGATTCTGGCTCGGAAATTAACTTTATCACTGATACTTTGGCCAACATTTTACAACTTCAGCGAAAGCGTCAACATTTTGAAGTTTCTGGTATAGGAGATGATACAGCAAAACTTCAGTTCTCAGTCTCGACGACCATACGCTCACGTTTGTCTGCTGACGAATGGTCATTGAAATTTGCTATTAGCAAGACAATAGCATTGACTCAACTTGCGACTCGAATAGAATCATCAACGTGGTCAAACCCTGACGGAATAGATTTGGCTGACCCATTGTTTTTTAAACCACAAAAAATTGACATTTTAAGCACCCAGGAATTCTTCGAATTGCTCACTGGGCTGCCATGCCTACTTAACACTACACTCGGATGGATTATTGTTGGACAAGTTGTGGGCAATCTGCAATCTAGGGCGAAGGCTAATGTACATATGCGCAAAATCTCGCAGTCCCAACAGCTGAATGAAAATCTAAAAAGGTTTTTGGAAATCGAATTGTTTCCAGAATCATCTCAAAACCAGTACACAGGAAGAGGAAGAATGTTGTCGCCATTTCTGTAAAAACTTTGCTTTTCTCGAGAATGGGCGACTTCAAGTTCGGCTTCCCTTTTCGAAATCTACCCAAAAATTGGGAAGTTCTGTGGATATTGTCAAGCAACGATTTTGGCAAATAGAGCGTCGTTTAAAACGTTTACCCGTTCAAAAAAAATGTGTTCTGATTTCATGCAGGAATATATTGATTTGGGGCACATGCAACCTGTAGATAGTTTCGACTCAAATCATTCTCACTATGTAATCCCTCATCACGCTGTACTGCGTCCAGACCGCCCAACAACAAAGTTGCGTGTAGTTTTTGACGCATCTGCGAAGTCGTCATCAGGAGTATCATTAAATAACATTTTAATGGTTGGACCGAGAGTTCAGCAAGACCTTATCTTAACCCTGCTGTCATTTAGGTTGTATAGGCATGCTCCAACAGCTGATATAACAAAAATATATCGGCAATTCATTGAAGATCCCTAGGAACGCAAGTTTCAGTTGATTTGGTGGAGGCACAATATTTCTGACCCGTTAAAATTATATCCGTAGAGTAATGTCACATATGGGCTTGCTTGTGCACCGTTTCTCGCCATCAGAAGTTTGTATTTCATAGCAGAAAAATATATGAAAGAATTTTCTATAGGATCTGAAATTATATCTAAAGAGATGTATGTCGATGACATCCTTACAGGAGCTGACTGCATTGAGGATTTAAAATTGAAGATTGATCAAGTTACTGGAATCTTGTCTTGTGCCGGATTGGAGTTAGCCAAATGGAATTTTAGCAGCTTGGATGATAATATCAAAGAACATCGATTCAAGTTTGAAAGCAAAGATATCACAAAAACCTTATGAATGTCGTGGAGGCCCCATTGGATGAATTTTGCATTCGGTTCGATTTGCCGAAAACTAACGCTATGACGAAAAGGAATATTTTCTCAATTATTGCACGCCTTGCACTTGGCTTGTTAGAACCAGTGCACAGAGAAAAAAACGGAACAATACCCGTTTGATCTTGTCTCCTTAATTTTCACATATCACCTTTTACATATCAAATTGACACGAATTCATATCAATATGATACGGATTCATATCAACATTTTTAATTGATATGATTTTGCATCATTTTAATATAAATGCCTATTAATTTGATATGTTTTTCATATCAAACGTAACATCGAAAAGTCTTCGAAAAACAAGTATGACTGTGCTTTCGCATTTTTTGTGTATTAATGGTATACAGTATAGTATACATCAAGCAACAATTCTGGGAGCTTTGGCGACGAGATTACCTGCACACCTTGCAGGCCCGCAGCAAGTGGCGTTCTCCAAAGGCGAACATAGTCCCGGGGCAGCTGGTTATGATCCATGAAGACAACGCTTCACCTCAGCAATGACCCTTGGGACGAATTACCAATACTTGCTCTGGAGCGGACGGAAGAGTCCGAGTCGTCGATATTAAGACTGCAGAAGGAGTCGTTCGTTGTCCAATTCGTTAAGTTGCGCACCTGCCTATCTCACCTGTATCTTGAAAGAACGACAGTCCTTCCAACGGGCGGAGTATGTTCACGCTTGCCTCTTTATATTAGTTGAAATTGTATGCTAAAATATTACCCTCTATTGTAAAGCATTATGATCCACAATGAAAACGGTAAATCATAAGCTTTCTTGTTATGCATAGCCCAACCAAATGTATAACCAAATGCAGAACATAGTCTCACGCAGAACTTCGTGAAGTAAATATCATTGACTCCGTCGTTTTAATTTTGGGATCAAGCTCCGCCATCTGCACAGGGGCAGAGGCGGTGCAATAACAACAGCCACTGGCATTTGCACGAGGGCTAATTTCACCGTTGGCTGCCTCCCATTAGGCAGCGGATTAAACAATCTTCTTTTAGCAATCGACTTATTTCAGAATATACAAAATCTGAAGCTGATAGAGCATAAGATCTTCTCTTTGATCTGCAGATGCTATTTTTATGTTGTTTATTTTTGATTGTCGGATAATTCAACGACGGCGTGTTCAGAATTTTTAAATCCCAAACAACGGCGTGTTCAGGATTTTTAGTTCAAAGTAAACTCGCTTTGATTACCCATTTCAGATTCGGATATTTTTATACCCGTTACTCGTAGAGTGAAAGGGTATACTAGATTCGTCGGAAAGTATGTAATAGGCAGAAGGAAGCGTTTCCGACCCATGTCCGTCTGTCCGTCTGTCTGTCCGGATGAACGCTGAGATCTCGGAAACTATGGGAGCTAGGCTATTGAGATTTGGCGTGCAGATTCCTGAGCTTCTTACGCAGCGCAAGTTTGTTTGTAGAGTGCCACGCCCACTCTAACGCCCACAAACCGCCCAAAACTGTGGCTCCTACAGTTTTGATGCTAGAATAAAAATTTTAACTGAAATGTAATGTTCTCTCAATACCTATCGATTGACCCAAAAAAAAAATTGCCACGCCCACCCTAACGCCCATAAACCGCCCACAAACTTCAAAAAATCGTAAATATGGGATTTCAGATCTAGATTCCGTAGCCTTATACGCAGCGCAAGTTTGTTACGCGAATATGCCACGCCCACTCTAACGCCCATAACGCTTAAATCTGTATACCGCCGGTAGGTAGCGGATTTTAATCTCGCTTTGCTGTTTGCATATCTCTATTTAGCTGAGTAACGGGTATCTGATAGTCGAGGTACTCGACTATAGCGTTCTTCCTTGTTTTAGTATAAATTCCTTTAATGGAAGAATCGTATTTTCTTCTGTTAAGAAAAGTTGGTTTAAAATGATTACGTTATCATCATTTAATTTTTTTCTTTTTCATTATATATTTAATAACTCCCTTAGCTAATTCAATTACAGCTCCTATTTTTTCAAAGGTTATAGCCGATCAGTAAATCTGAGTCTAGTCCTTCTATTTCATAAAAAGTATATCGGGTATCAAAAATAGTTACCATGTGATAATATTTAATTATTGAATATCAATTCACTGTGGATACTCTTTTATATATTGGAAGCTCATTCTTATTTTTATAAATTCCTGTTCTTATATAACACGTGGTTGCCCTAGTGTCAATTATTATATTTCATTTTTTATTTATTTCCGTGTCATTTCTAATTAAGTAGGGTAAGCCTACTCCTGACTTTTGTCTGGTTCTCCTCAATATTATTTAATCTCATCGTCTTGTTAGCCTATTGGTTTACAGTTCCACTTGGTACCCTTTTATTTTGGGCTTGGCCTTGCTGAGTGTTCTGGGTCTCAAACTTTTTAGTTTGACCCCACTTCTGGCTATAATTATTATTTTTATTTTTATTATAGCTTTGATTATAACCGTTATTAGCCCTGTTCTGAACCTGGACAGACTCGTCTATCTCCATTGGTTCTGGCTTATTTTGTGGCTGCCTATAATCGTTCCACTGATTTTGTTGGTTATTATTAAATCTACCCTGGTTCCAAGAATTATTTTTATTCTGATTATAATAACCATAAGTATTTTTGTTCTGGTTGTTGTCCTGGTTAAACCTTAAATTATTCTAGTTTCGCTGGTTATTATAATTATTGTTTCGTTGTCTTGGCTTTTGGTTGAAATGTGTTTGACCATTTCCACCAGAGCTCACTATGTTTTCTCTGAGTAGTTGAGAAACTATGTTATTGGTTTGTTTCTACCAAGGTCATAAAAGTTTAATTAATTAGAAGAGTTAATTTTCTATTAACTGTGCCATAATAATCCATTATGGATAGTTGTCCATGACTCAATACACTTAATTCCTGCTGTATACTATGTATTGAACGTTTGTCGCTATGGCATCGATAATGACCACCGTACCATTATTGGTAAAGGCATCGTTTGCCATTCCCGTTATTTTGTTTCTTAATATAGATAAAGCAGAATAAAACCTTTCACTTTCTCTGGCATATTGCCCCATGGCTATTTCAGCTGATTCTTTCCATATTTATCTTCTTCATCTTTATATTCCCCAACAGTTTTGATCATCTCATAAGATGTGTCACACTTTATATTTGGATCGATAATCTCCATCTGATTATCCTCAACCGTTTTTATTTTGTGAGAAAGCTGCGATCTTAAATTTACGATCTCCTCCTTTAATGGACTTAATTCAAAATTTCCAATTTGTTTTATTAAGTCTCCTACATTTAAGATTATATTGTTTGTTACCGCCTAATGGTTCGTATGTTCTTGAGACGGATTCATGTGCAATCTTTTATTTGCTCCAGCCTGGCTGGTTTAAGGCTCTGACATTTTGAGATTTTTTCGAAATCCGAAATTAAGTCTTCCACTTTGTTTTTATAGTTGATTTTTTACAAATTTCTTATAAAATAATAATAATAATAATTTAAAAAAGGTAGTATCGCTCACGAATTGTCCTCCTTAGTTTTCTTCTAGTTGTTTGCTGATCCTGTTGGGGTCGTCATTCTCTTAGTTGATGATCCTGCTTGAGGTCGTCCTTCTTGTTTGGCTTGCAGATTTTTATTGGGGTCTTCCTTCTTGTTTATTTTTGGCGAGGGATTCTTTGGGTGTTTTTTTTTTATGATGGTTTCGATGATTTTTTGTTAATTTTAATTAAATTGTTTTTTCCGATGGTTATATGTTTCGATAATTTATTTGTCACTTTTGGATTTTTATATTGTCAGAGCAGTGAATTTTTGTTACGATAAGTATTTTTATACCCGTTACTCGTAGAGTAAAAGGGTATACTAGATTCGTCGGAAAGTATGTAACAGGCAGAAGGAAGCGTTTCCGACCCCACAAAGTATATATATTCTTGATCAGGATCACTAGCCGAGTCGATCTAGCCATGTCCGTCTCTCCGTCTGTCCGTCTGTCCGTCTGTCCGTCTGTCCGTCTGTCTGTCCGTCCGGATGAACGCTGAGATCTCGGAAACTATGGGAGCTAGGCTATTGAGATTTGGCGTGCAGATTCCTGAGCTTTTTACGCAGCGCAAGTTTGTTTCAGCAATGTGCCACGCCCACTCCAACGCCCACAAACCGCCCAAAACTGTGGCTCCTACAGTTTTGATGCTAGAATAAAAATTTTAACTGAAATGTATTGTTCTCATCAATACCTATCGATCGACTCAAAAAAAAGTTTGCCACGCCCACTTTAACGCCCACAAACCGCAAAAACCTGTGACGCCCACAATTCTTAAGCTAGATAAAAAGTTTTAACTGAAATGTATTGGTCTCGGCAATACCTATCGATTGATCCAAAAAAAAAAAAATTTGCCACGCCCACTCTAACGCCCATAACGCTTAAATCTGTATACCGCCGGTAGGTGGCGCATTTTAATCTCGCTTTGCTGCTTGCATATCTCCATTTAGCTGAGTAACGGGTATCTGATAGTCGAGGTACTCGACTATAGCGTTCTTCCTTGTTTGATTTTGGATTTAAGGGGATTATTTCATTAGTTATTTTCCACCTTAGTTTTTTTTATCAACACAATTTTTTTTATTTTTTGCCGGTTGAATCAAGTTTAAGGGGATTATTGCATTTAATAATTTCCAACTTATTTTTTGTCAACACAAGCCTTATATTTTCGTCGATTATATCGGGATTTGGCCGTGCTAAATTCCTTTTTCACTTTTAAACTTTCTTAGCTTTTACTTTAAAGATCTTGCTTAAGAATTTTTTAAACGCACGGCCCCACGCTGGGCGCCATATAATTTTCTTACTATTGAATTTGTTAAAATAATCATTAATTCACTATTACAATTTTCAATAGGTCGAACTTATTTTATTCACTGCTTCTTAACTTTCACTCGATTTATTCAACTCCTCGATTCGATTCTCAAAAACGGACTGCCCTGCCTCGAGTTCAATGATCAATAATCAAACCTCGGCTTTAGAGATATATCCCAAAAATTGATTAAAATAATGACTCAAGAGAGTCGAAAAATAGGATAATGCAATTCCCCAATTAAATTTGAAATCTAAATTCGGCCGGAAATTGGTGTTTACATTAGCGGACTTTAGGCATCGCTTTGGGTATCTTTTTTTTACCTTATCGGACTCAGGGCTAGCTCTGGGGATTGTTTTCTTTACGTTAGCGGACTCAGGGCTCGCTTTGGGGCTCCGAAGTTTACAATATCGGCTTGGATGTTTATAGCATCCGGACTACGTGAAACTGATCTGGGTGGGAATGATTTGGCCTGCCTGGTTGACGACGGCGTGCTCAGGATTTTTAATACCCAAACTTTTATTTTTGTCGGATATTTCAACGACGGCGTGTTCAGTACTCGTTTCACATTGGGATCTGATTTGAGACTTTTCATCAAAGTATTTATTTAATATAAATTCCTTTAATGAAAGAATGGCTTCTTTCTTCTGTTAAAGAAATGTTTCCGTTATCATAATTTCATTTATTTCTTTTCCATTTTATTTAATAACTCCCTTAGCTGTATCAATTACAGCTCCTATTTCTCCAAAAGGTTATAGCCGACCAGTAAATCTAAGTCTAGTCCTTCTATTTCATGAAAAGTATTTCTCTTATCAAAAATAGAAACAGAAATTCGGACTTTAGGGATCGCTTTGGGGATCTTTTTGTTTACGTAAGCGGACTCAGGGCTCGCTTTGGGGATCTTTTTTTTACGTTAGCGGACTCAGGGCTCGCTTTGGGGCTCCAATGTTTACAATATCGGCTTAAAACTGATCTGGGTGGAAATTATTTGGAGGTGTGTTTCGGTTCGTTATTTGCTTTGATTTCTTTTTAAGTATAGGTAGTTTTATGATTGGAAAATTCAATATACAAGATGGAGATACTTCTTATACCCGTTACTCGTAGAGTAAAAGCGTTTCCGACCCCATAAAGTATATATATTCTTGATCAGGATCACTAGCCGAGTCGATCTAGCCATGTCCGTCTGTACGTCTGTCCGTATGAAAGCTGAGATCTCGGAAACTATACAAGCTACAATACTGGGATTAGGCATGCAGATTCCTGAGATTCGTGCGCAGCGCAAGTTTGTTTCAGGAGAGTGCCACGCCCAAAAGCCGCCCAAATCTGTGGTTCATAGAGTTTTAATGCTAGAATAAAAAAAGTTTGCCACGCCCACTCTAACGCCTACAAACCGCCCAAACCTGTGGCGTCAAACCTGTGTGCTAGATACAAATTTTAACTGAAATGTGTTGGTCTCGTCAATACTTATCGATTGATCCAAAAAAAATTTCCCACGCCCACTTTAACGTTTATACCGCTTTAATCTGTCTACCGCCGGTAGGTAGCGCATTTCAATCTCCCTTTGCTGCTTGCATGTCTCCATTTCCCTTTGGTCCCATTAGCTGAGTAAGCGGTATCTGATAGTCGAGGTACTCGACTATAGCGTTCTTCCTTGTTTGTTTTGCTTTTTAATCGTGTCCACCCTGGGGGACCTTTTTCTGCTCCGATGCTTATGGCCACGGTGGCATCGGTGGCAGTTGTGACGCACTCCTCCTCGCTGGCCTCGATGTGACCACTGTAGTCGGTCGGCAACTCCTCGTAGATAATCTCTGAATGCTGTTGTTGCTGCTGCTGTTGTTTAGCCACCGCCTGCTGCTGATGCAGCGAGTGAGATGCCCCGCCGCCCATCATATGGTTCCTCTTCAGCGCAATCAGAGCTCCCACTCCGCCGCCTCCGCTCGCGCCGCTTCCCTCAACGTGCGCGACCACGCCGGAATTTTGATTGGTTACGTAGTAAGGACTACCGCTGCTGTACTGATTGGAGTTGCTTGACATTGTCTGCTGCTGTTGCTGGTGTCCACTTTGAGAGTTGTAGATTATTTCAGCATCGGCGGCTCGCTGTTTCACATCCCCAGCGATCCGGGAGCAGATTGCACCACAATATCCAGCAGCGGTGAACTCTTGCGCGAATTTTCCATGTGACTGGGCGAAACGGGCGCCGAGCGGGGCATCCCGGAAGCCCTGGCTGCTCCGCTGGCGACGCTTCGTTCGTCGATCAGCCTCGGAGCGGGCCACCTTGATGAAATACATATGCAAACTGAGATTATGGCATCAAATTGATCAGGCGAGCGAGTATAATTGAAGGCATGTCTTTATTTCGTTGAAAAAATTCGTTAACATAATATCGTTTTTATACCCTTGGAGAGGGTATTATGATTGCAACGCAGTGAAGGAGACGTTTCCGTTTTTATACCCTTGCAGAGGGTACCATGATTTCATTCAAAAGCTTGCAACGCAGTGAAGGAGACGTTTCCATAAAGTATATATATTCTTTATCAGCATCACCAGACGAGTCGATCTAGCCATGTCCTTCTGTCCGTCCGTTTCTACGCAAATTAGTCTGTCGGTTTTAAAGCTATCGGGCTGAAGCTTTCCCAAAGGTCTTGTTTCTTTTGTAGGTAGTATATAAGTCGGAACCAGCCGGATCGGACAACTATGTCTTATAGCTCCCATAGGAATAATCGGAAAAAAATTTTTTATGGTGTTTTTAACATAAAAACTCCTACGCCTGGAAATAACATTTTTTAATTAGTTCTGACTTTGGATTTTATTTTAGCAAAATCGGACGACAATATCATATACATGCACATACACATATACATACGTAGCTACCATACGAACGATCGGAAAATTGGTGGGAAAATAATATGAAACAAATTATAGCTTCGGTGTTTTTCAACATATAACCTCCTACGCTTGGAAATAACATTTTTTAATTAGTTCTGACGATTATATCATAAAGCTGCCATATGAACGATCGTAAAATTGGTGGGAAAATAATCAGGGTATTCCCTAAACTGTTGACTTGCTGAATTGTTGAAAATTCAACAGAAAATTTTAGCAATTAAGGGAACGACCCTAAAAGTTCCCTGTTGAATTTTCAATTTATGATGTCTGCTGTTTGTCAGATTGTCAAAATGTCAGGCTGTGTTTACCAAAGATTACGTTTGAAATTAAGGAAAATGCCGAGAATAAGCCAAAAAACTTAACTATTAGAACTTCTAACAGGCAGCATCCTATCAGATATCCTTTATTTGCATATTTTATACGATTGCAATTCCTCCATGTTTACAAGTGACCAGAGTTACCCTCTAACTTTTAGACGAGAGCAGCGACAACTCTGGTTTTCAGTAATTTAACAAAATTTTCAACAGCCCCGAGGCTGCTGAATTGCTGAAATTTCTGACAGTTGACTATGTATGGAACAGCTGATCAAAATTCAACAATTCAGCAATTCAACAGTTTAGGGAATACCCAGAATGTGAAACAAATTATAGCTTCGGTGTTTTTTGACATATAACCTTATACTTTTGGGAGTATCATTTTTTGTATTTTTAAATTTAATAATTATAACTGCAAGCGTATACAAACTTCGGTTTGCCGAAGTTAACTTCCTTTCTTGTTACATTTTATGGCGCCAAGTTCTTAAAATTATATTCGGGGTGTCACAGAAATCTTTTTCAACCAAGATCCGTTATGTTTCTTGCACAAAACCAACCGTTTTTGGTTGGAAGAGATTTTGTGATCGTTGGCCAGAAGCCTCCTGGCTAGCGGCCTCGTTAGATGCCGCCAGTATCCTCGTTGGCGGCCTCCTCCTGGCAAGCAGCCTCGACAACTGCCGCCTCCTGACTAGCAGCCTCGTTGGCGGCCGCCTCCTGTCCGCGAGGTTGTCCCCGATTCCTGCGGCGCCGTCGGCGCTCTCGATGCTCCTGCTCCTGGCGTTGTCGGCTTTTTGGGGGGAGGTCTTTCCCCATTGTCTTCAACGACGAACTTGCTTATTTTCTGTAAATAGGATATATAAATGATTAGTATTTTATTTTAATTATTAATACACATTAATATGCTTACGCATTTTATTAACGAGACCCTCGACATCTATCCTCCGGTGATTTCAGTTCCCGCGAATCGGGAGTGATGTCACACTTTCAGCTTGCCTTTATCGAAGTATCAATATAGGCTATCGATATAAGGTTAATGAGTTCCTAGTTAAAATTTTGGAACAAAAGAGATGCCCACAACGCACAATGCGTTTTTTTTTCAAAAATTGCCGTACCGCATTAGTTAATTAGTAAAATTAATTTACTTTCCAACGAGGTACCGTGCATGTTGGTACAACGTCTGTAAAAGTAAAATTAATTGAAAATAGAGATACCGTCGAAACATAATTTTTTTCCCACATGGTTAGTGTCTTGGGAGCGTAGAACAGGGCGGAACTGGTTACAGTTTTCGGACAAATGAGATGCCCACAACGCACTAAGCGTTTCTCTCAAAAAGTGGCGGCTTTTCGGTTGCCGTACCGCATTAGTTAATTAGTAAAATTAATATCCTTTCGAACGAGGTACCGTGCATGTTCGTACAACGTCTGTAAAAGTCAAATTAATTGAAAATATAAACATAACTCGGAATGAGGAACTTGTGAGATGGTTCTAAAGCCGCCTAGCTGAGGCAACCGAGCTGGTCGCAGGTTGCGGATGGCGGACGACATCTCTCGAGGCCAACTGTTAATAATCAAACACGGAATCGTGAACGGAAACCCCAGTAAATAAACTGTCCCGGACAACCAGCGGGTATCCTGCAACGAAGCAATAGCGACGATGCGAATTGTTCAGCCGCTTCTTAACACCCAACACATCACCTACCCACCTCCGCTCCCAAAACAACATCTCACTCCGGGTCGGACTTCGATGTTATTCGGACCGTGCCAAAAGTCAGTCTGGCTGGGGGCCTGGACTAAAAACTAGCCCAGTCTCCAACGGTGTGCTCAAGGATATGGCGACCCCGTGTTCTAACTGTCGCCTTACCCAGGCATCGCGGATCTCTGCCCGGGCGGACATTTCCCCTTCTCCGCAACTCGTGGGACCAATTATGAAAAACAAAACGAACACTTAACAAAATACAGAGACGGGAACTCTTAAAAAACCCACGGAAATGCCGAACACTGGTTCCAACACTCGCACCAGCACGGTCCTGAAAGGTCCGTATCCCAAACTGGGGATGTCGGGTGGCAGAAAGCCAGCCGCCAATGCCTCCGGCTTCTGCGCCTAAAATATTGGTAGGCGCTCGGCGCAAATATACCTACGCGGAAAGGCGGACTGCCGTCCAGACTCCGAGCTCACAAGCCAGAAGCCACCCTAGCCTGAATGGCTAAAGAAGATATAATGGGCAAGGAATGTGCTTCCAAACTGCGGGCAGGATAAGCCCACCCAAGAAGGGGCTCAGGCGAAACGGCAGCGATCCCTAAATCTACCCGGACCATCGGCGAAGAGATCCAGAATCCAGCCATCGGTCTCTTTCACCGAGATCACCAAGGATCGAGTCTTACGAGTCGGTCTCATCGACAGGAGCAATCCGGGGGGCAGGATTCCCAGATATAAATGGAAGGCAGTGGAATCCCCGCTTTCCCTCATATGCCGGCGCATAATACGCAAAAAGCCAGGTTCATCGCCATGCTGCATGGACGCGGGCTGGTACCAGGGCAGTGTTAAAGTCGTGGCCTGCGATAGTCAGCGGTCGGCTGACCCTTACAAGCAGTCGACGAGCAAGTAAACGCGCCTAAATGTTGCAAGAATGCAACCCGCACCTCCCCACGAAGGACTGGAAAGTCGTCAAGGTGGAGGAACATGAAGAGGATGTCAATCAGGCGATCATGCTTCTTAACAAGGAGTTGGTTGCTCCAATCGAGGCTGCCCGACGTCTACTCCTCCGATTCTTCGCTGAGCAGAAAGATGCGAGCGCCGACGTCACTGTGGTGGAGGTTGCAGCTGTAGATGTCGATAAGACTTCTGCAAATAAACCTACATCACAGTGAACCAGCGTCGGCTGCACTATTGCTTCGCCTGACCGAAGGCGGAGCCGACCTGAACCTAGTACAGGAATCTTGCTTAGTAGGAGGGAAGGTTGCTCAAATTAGATCTCCTCCCATCAGACCGCAACATTAAATGGTCCATTCAGAGTTTCAAACCATACAAATCGCCGGGACTGGACGGGATAACACCGGCACATAACATATATAACAGGCAGGACAACTAGCTATAAACTGGCTAAGAAAAATCTTCCACATCGTCCTGGCGGTGGGAGAACTTCCAACCGTATGGCGGGAAACGAAAGTGGTTTTCATCCCCAAGGCAGGGAAGGCCACCCACACCACAGCAAATGATTTCAGGCCAATAAGCCTAACATCATTCCTTCTAAAGAGCTTTGAAAGAATGATAAGCCTACACATAAGAGCCATTATCGACCCAACACAAATATCAGAGGCACAACACTCTTGTAAGGTATATATATTATAAGGAATCGGCGCTACACTTGGTGGTAAGCAGTATCGAGAAATCACTCAGTACCAAGGAATACACATTGATCGCCTTCCTTGACATAAACTACTGCGGATTCTTGAAAGAGGAGGCTGTAAGGTAGTGGCATACGCAGACGATGTCGCTATCATCTTTAATGGCAAGTATCCACAAACACTCTGCGATCTTATGACCGCAAAACTAACAAAGAAGAACGCTATAGTCGAGGACCTCGACTATCAGATACCCATTACTCAGCTAATGGGACCAAAGAGAAATGGAGATATGCAAGCAGCAAAGCGAGATTGAAATGCGCCACCTACCGGCGGTAGATAGATTTAAGCGTTATGGGCGTTAGAGTGGGCGTGGCAAATTTTTTTTTTTTTTTGGATCAATCGATAGGTATTGACGAGACCAATACATTTCAGTTAAAAATTTTTATCCAGCATGAAAATTGTGGGCGCCACAGGCTTGGGCGGTTTGTGGGCGTTGCTTTTTTTTGGGTCAATCGATAGGTACTGACGAGAACAATACGTTTCAGTTAAAATTTTTATTCTAGCATCAAAACTGTAGAATCCACAGATTTGGGCGGTTTGTGGGCGTTAGAGTGGGCGTGGCACTCTGCTGAA